TGGTCTACTACAAGGGTAAAATTGACTTTTTGCCTAAAATTTAATACAAAAGATAAGTTATTTTTAATCTAATTTTAGAAAAGTTCAATGTGATATTATTGGTATAATGTCAAAATGTCAACATTTATTAAAATTATAATTTTGGCTCATGTTATTTTGTTTAAAGTATTTTGGCCTTTAAACTAATAGTTTTTATTTATAGAGGGACTTTTTGCTCTAAAATAAAATATTGAGGTCAAAATACTCTAAAGAAGAGAGAGAAGAGGAACCAAAATGATCATTAAATGTTAGGGGTAATTTTGGCATTATGCCAATATTATTCTAACCATTATTCCGTAAACAACATTCACTAATACAACAATGGTTTATCCTCCAGCACAATACTATTGTTTCCATATAAACTGATCTGTGCAAACAAAATAATAACAACAACACATCATATCCATACCGTTAAGCTAGAAAAGTTACAAAATAATTACACCAAAGTCCAAACAGAGTCCGAATGTAACACAATTATTAGAAATGCAGACAAAATGTGACTGTGAAATTAGATTCAGCCACAAGATTTTATCAGATGGGGAAAAGGCAGGCAATCTAAGGTAAGATCGATCACTATCTAATTACAAAGAAAAACAAAATCCCAAGGAAAACTGCAAAAGCAAAGTACTGGTATTTATAGTTGCCTCTGAAAGCTGTAGAAACAGTACATAGTACACCACTGATCCGCCATTACCAGAAGAAAATTAAAATAGCTTCATCTCACTCAAATCCGTCTAATTATTGTTGTATAAGCTAACAGGTCGTAAGTAACGTTTACCAAGAAAATTTTCGAGGAAATTAATATCATGAGTTAACATCAAAGCTGAGGAAATGCATATGGAGATAATGGATTCTCAGTTCTCGACAGTGCTCAGCCTGCCCTTCTTTTAAGCTTAAAAGAAACCCTATTTCGGGGGGACCTCTCTCTCTCTCTTGCTAGCTTCCTCATGCATGCTCCACCATTTGTTATAAGCTTAAGCAAAGCTTTCTTTCTCTTTTGCAAAATATTACTTCTTTATTACTGTGTATCTGCAGGTAAAAATTGCATTGAGAGTTGCAAACTGTTGGATTACAGTTTATATATATATATTATAGGGTTGGATCTAAACGGCGACATAGGGTAAGGACCACAATTTTAGGGTATCCCCACCCTAGAACCTCCCCCTATATTCTTCCCCATACTCTCACACTTATATTTCACTATGAATCCAGTTGGCGGTTATCTTGTTCCATAATACCTTTGCTGGCTCTTTGTCCCCTTGATCTTTTACTCACACTTCCCCCACAATTCACAGCCATGATGTATGGTGTTTCTTTTTCTTAAGCTGCTCTTAATTATAAAAACAACACGATCATGTTTAGCCCATTAAGGGAAAAAGTTAGGGTTCTTTTTCTTTTTCTTTTCAGTTTTGTTTTGGTTATGGCTTCATGGAGTTGGATAATGGTGTTTGGCCTTTGGGGAGAAACATCCATCCTCTGCTAATTTCATTGGTTAATTTTCTCCCGTTGAACTTTTATCAACAAAGCCAGGTTTTATCCATTAGTTTATTAACCAAAAAGACAACAGTCTCTATCAAGTAGTGGAATCCCATTTTTCATGAGAGATTTGATGATAATTGCAACAACTGGCATACACCCCAGGCTATAGGAGAAAGGAACTAAAGTAAGATTGTTATAAGACTAGCTACACACCTCCCCCGGGCGCCGCCTGCTCTAAGCCACCAGCTACGGCGGCAGTCTACTTGCCAGCACTGTTCTCTGAATGAGTACCGTTGAGCCTCGCTTGCTGTTTTGTCGCTTTCCATTCTTTCTTTTCCAGCTTCGACTGCTCCTTGTTTTTTGTTTTGGTGAATAGCTTAGAGCCGCCATGTAGTTTGATATGCAGGAGGCAAATCATAAATTAAATGTGTTTTGAGTCATTACTGATGATAAGTAACTATTCTTTCATCCATTAATTACATTTGCAGCTATAGATTGCAAGCTCTCTTTTGTCGTCGTCGTCGTATTTAGGCAGAACTAAGCTAGGTTTTTTTTCAGGGTAAACTACGTTTTTCACAATTCAACTTTGATTATATTCCTATTTTAGTCACTAAGATTTAAAAAAATTTAATATGATCACTTAACTTCTGAATTTCTACATTTTTAATCACTCGGATGATAAATCATAAACAACATAGTAAAGTTACTTGTTTTTTAATTAGTGGAAGCCACCTCATTTTTTAATTATTTTTTTCTTATTTCATCATCTTTCTACAACTTTAAAACTCTTAGAGTTTTATTTCCATCTCACACACATATCGACATCACTATTCTTTGACGTCTTCTTTGATCACTTAAGACATTGATGAATTTGTCTATTTATTTCTTATCACTCTATCGGTTTAGACGTTCTCAAAATCTCTTAAAAATTCGTAAAACTTCAACTTAAAACATCGAGAAAAACAACTTCGATGTATAATCCTCATCGCCGGATCACCTTAAAACCATGATTTATTACTCGTCTCCTTCTTCTACAACTTCCCACTGTTGATATTTGAAAGATGCTCTAATGTTGGAAAATCACAGGAAATCCAAAAAGTATGTTGGAAATTTGAGAAGAAATATTTTAGAGACATTTTAAAAAATTTAAAAGAAAGTTTTAAGGTGTTTTACCACAATTTGAAAGATAGACTCTATGTCATAAAAGTATTAAATAATTAAAAATGAAGTGACCAAAAATATAACAATGTCAAAGTCGAGTGATCAAATTGAAATTTTAAAGTTAAGTGACTAAAACATTAATATAATTAAAATTAAGTGATAAGAAAAATTGTAATTTAGCCTTTCTTGAGATGCTGTCACCTGCTTCTTTATTCCTCTAGTTGCCTTAATTATTGTTCTTCAGCACACGAAAGGCTAATTTATATTGTATGTTTTGTTGTTTTCTAGATCCTGCATATCTACATTAGGTATGTATATGAACGGCTGTAGCACAAAAGCCTAATAAGCTCCCTCCAAGCTGTTCCACCTAACTGTGCTTCTTTTTTCACAAGATTTTGCTGCATGAAACCCATTTGGGAAATGCCTTTAGACAGGACGCACTTAGCTAACTTTTTTCACCAAATCCAGGCCCTTTTCTTTTTAGATTCTAACCATTGTAGTTATGAAAGAGCTGCTAACATTTTTTTATTAAGAAATGTATTCCATTATTAAGACAAATACTAGAATTCGAACTTATAAAAGACAAGATAATATAAACACCTTGACTACTCAATTAATTCAATAATTTAAACTAAAAATAAATAAATAAAATAACTAAATAAACGTTTATCGCAAACAAAACATCAAATTCAACTTTAAAATATATTAAAAATAGAGAAAATATTTTTTTTAAATAAAAAATAAATATAGAAAGAACTCTAAAATGGTTAGGCGCCTTGAAATTTCTACATCCAGTTAGCATATATATATATATATATATATATATGGTCCAAAGCAAATTACACATCCTTGTCCAACTTCTTTAATCAATCGTCGACTATAAAGCATGGATAGGTGATCCCTTCTTATATCGGTGCCCAGCATTGAACATTATCTGGACACAATCAAATACGTTTGGATAGAGAATTTAGAAAGCGAACAGTTGTCACATAAAATAAATATAAATTTTGGTTTAATATTATATAATCTAATATATAAAATTTAATCATATATACATAGACTTTGAATTGATTAATTTTGAATTAATAGAGTGACTCTTTTAATTTAATTTTATTTATAATGTCAGGATTTAAAGTCGTAACATTATTTAAGTGATCAAAGATTTTATCTCAATAGATTAATTATAATATCTAAATATATATATTTTTTAAAAATTATCCAGCAACTCTAATAAAAAAGGAGTATTATTTTCTTTAGATATCTTAAATTTAAACAACTACATTTGTATATTAACTGAAAAGATAATATCTGTACCCACAGATATCCTAGCTGTAGATGACATAGATTTAAATGCAAAGTATAATATAGAAACTTAATGCCACATCAATGGTGGTCCAAAATTAAAACGTGCATCTGCGTAATTAATTCCAAACATTAGAATACGTAACCCAGTCCTCAAGTTGTTGTATAAGTTTAATTATTAATCTGGGTTTAAATTCGGAACGAATAATATTCAGAATACTATTCTATGGAGACCATATCAAAAAGAAGCGCAGTGGCAGGGAGTGGACGACCGACCACCTGATAAATGAGCTTTATTCTGATGGAAGCGTGATCCACATGCACTTTGCAAAGTGGCGGGGATATGACCTTTTCATTGGGGCTTTGGTTTCACATTTAGAGGATGTTGAATGTAACCAAAACGAATTTTACTTAAACCCCTGGTCTGGATTTAACTTGGAAGACCCAAAATTCCTTTTTGATTTCAGCGGCGATTGTTGACATTTTGACAAAATGATGTCACGTCCACGGCCTAAAGTTATATCCAAATCAAATCATAAAAGTTCCCCTTTCGGTGGTGAAAATCGAATCGCCATTGTTTATCCTACGTGTACCGTTTTGATGTGGCGGGACAGTGGTTGGAACCCATAAATCAATCAGCATGTCCATCCATCTTAATCGTTTCATGTCCAAGCAACACACATCCTGGGTGGTCCTCTCTCTAGCATGTGTAAGTTTGAGGTTCATTTTATATTAGTCTGAAATCGTAGCAGAGCCCATTTTGGATGCACGGCCCATGCATTGTACTTTTGATGAATTTGGAACCCAACATATCTGATGACAAAAATAGGAAATGTCTCGATCACTACAAAATGTGATGGCATTTAAGTTTAAAATTTTACTCTCTTACAAGAGAGTTTAAGTCCAATAAGCAATAATAATACAATCTTTGCAATAGTTTCCAACATTGTAATAATTCTTATTGGTAATAAAATGTTTTATTTGGTATGCGTCATGCATCGGAAATTAGCCTTTTTGATCCTAAGTATTCCTCAGAGTTTGCAGAAGGTACTCGGAATACAGGTCCCTGCACCATAGCAACATAGCTTTAGATATGGGAATTCCCTTATGGGATAAAGGATCAGTTTCTTTTATGGAAGGACTTACATTGAATGCTGGATGGCTTCATATGCAGTGCTCGAAGGTAAAATGTCGTTCACCGCAACCTCTTTGTTCTCGTTCTTCTTGTCTGTGTGATGTTAAGGAAGCACGAAATGGATTAAACAATCAGGAACAATGAGTTTATGATATAGGAAAGGATACAGTCTTCGAAGAAACGTTTGATCTCGGTGAGGCGGTGAGGGGGAAGATCTTTGATGTCCGTATAATGTTTGTACTCAGGATCATCAGCACAAACTGCAATGATCTTATCATCTTTCTCCCCCTGGATGACAATAACGAGGCAATTAACGCACAAACTGAAGGGAACAACAACTTTCCAGCAAAGAGTACCTGGTCGATCATGGGCATTAGTCCCAGGGCTCTGGCTCGCAAGAAACATCCAGGAAGAACTGGCTCCTATTGAAAGAAATGACATAATTTCAGTACTTGTAGATGACTGTTGCATGCAGCTCAAAGATGCAATAATCAAGTTCTAGGACTAAATTTGGCTAAACCAACTTCATGTGGGATACTACATTGTCGAATGACAGTTTGATGAGAAGGCCCTTGTAAGCACTGATAGTGATTCAGAGCCAATGAAAAACATAAGATGGATAGAGGAAGATCAGATGGGGAGTTTACCTGCATTATAACCAAACAATCCATGGGGTCATTGTCTTCACACAGCGTGCGAGGGATGAAACCGTAGTTGTGAGGATATACCACCGAAGAATATAGAACCCGATCAACCTGAGATCCATTCAAACAGTTAGAAAGCACGGCAACATGAAGACACATGCAACAATTTAAAATCTTGGGAAGACCAGGACTACATTATGCGAAGCACATTTTTCTCTTGATCAAACATTTTCCAGGCCCCAACTAACATGTTATTGGAACTGACAGTAACATGTTATATCTTCCAAGGATGTAAATCTTTTCATACCTGAATCATTCCGGTCTTCTTGTCGAGTTCATATTTGACCTTACTACCTTTCGATATCTCGACAACCTGTCCGGTCGAACAAGAAATTGAAACATGCAAACAATTAGCATTGTTGATACATAGTAAGAAATGCTAATGTCTGTTATTTCTCTTGTTTTTCCCAGTCAAAAACAATATGTGCTTCTCTGGGACTGGATGAATGTAATGGCAGTAAAATTTTAGCCCTTCAAAAGTTAGGGAAAAAAAACACATACACAGTTGAAAACTTTTGGAGCATCGGGTCCTGCAGACAAATATTTTAGCGACATGTCAGTCTCCCACTCTGATAACTTACTCGGGCAATATCGCAAACATCGAATCTAGTCAATCAATGGATAGATACCGATATCAAGATCATGCCAAGGATGTGCAGCAACTGATCTCCTTGACATAGACGAAAGGATCCTCTCATTCAGTTTGGGTACTTGTCGGAGACTTCCAGCTGCAGTTCCTTCTGCGTCGCTCATCTTGTTTTTTTTTCACAAGAACAACAAATTGCACCAAACATTCAATCAAATTATAGTAATTTATCTCAGTCCACTCATCAGTCTTCATGGATAAATCAACAACAAGAAAGCGACTTTCTTATACAATGTAATTCTTCTGTAGCCTCTTTTCTCAACATAAAAGTAAAGAAAATGGCTGTTTTTCTGGCAAAACCAAAGTTTAAAGCTTGAACATAAATTCCATTAATTTACAACAAAATCCAGTAGAACTTGTGCCATTGCACTTAAACCCAGAAATGATACGGCCATGAAATACGAGTTAAATAAACGTGCAATGCATCCTACTATAAAATAAAAATAGACAAAACTATAGAAAATGCTCCCATTGTGAATCTAAACAGAGCAGAAAGTAAAAAACAATGTACGTACCTTGGTTGTGGGATAAGAGTATTGCAGAAACACAGGAAAAATAAAGGTTCTAGATTATTGAGGGACGAGAAATGGGAAATGATGCGTTGATCCTAAAGCTACGGTTATCTATAGGTAAATATTTATAACATGGGGAGTGTTGAAAGTTTGGACAGGAGACGGAACAGGTTGGTCAATGCTTCAAGGCAAGCAGTTGCATGTGTCTGTCGTTGAGAAAAAAAAGGGTTTGGTTTAAGGCTTTTTCCCAATGCTTCATCTTTTTTCTCTGGCCAGGCTTTTGCTAGTAAATATAGTTAATTTTCTGCTAAAAAACTGCCTACTCCTAATTAAATAAAATGGATATATTCAATGGTTAAAAATAAGAAAGTTTCTAAAGCTTCCATCTTTTATACAAAAGCAATCACCTTATTGTGCAATTTCACAATCCTAAAATCTAAACTCTAAACCAGACTCAATTGTCATACCAGACACCTAGTTGGATGTTGTTGGAGCAAAGTAGGGAAAATATGGAGAAAAAAATAGAGGAAAAGAAGTAGAAGTAGAGAGAATTTTAACTTTGATTGATGTGTTGGTATATCTACTTGATGAGTACAAGAGTTCTTTATATTAAGGTGAGGGATGCCTTGTAATAATTGTGATACAATGAATAGTCACGACCATTTGGCATTTCAACTACTCCTATCAACTCTAGACATTTCATTTTCTCTTAATTAAACTTGACATATTCATGAACATAATTTATTGAGTTAGCTTAAAGGTCTCATTTACTAACACTCCTCCTTGAGACTTTTGGCCATCATACCAAGTTTGAGTCTTAGGAACTCAAATATGCCTTTTGGTAACGCCTTAGTTAGAATTTCAGCTAGTTGGTACTCTAAAGGACAATGGACCAACTTCACTTCTTGAAGTGCACAGAACTTAATCTTCATATGCTTTGTTTTGCTAAAACAAACTAGATTCTCTGAAATGTCTATTGTTGATTTGTTGTCAACCAGAACTTCAGTAGCTTCCTCTTGCTTGTGTCTTAAGTCTTTCAATATTTTCTGAGTCACACAACTTGATTCACTGCTGCACATGCTGCAATGTACTCAGCTTCAGTCGTGGATTGAGCTTTGATTTCTTACTTTTTTGAAATCCATGAAAACACTCCAGACCCAAGTGAAAAAACATAGCCAATAGTACTTTTCATGTCATCCACTGATCTACCCCAATCACTATATAAATATGCAAACAATTTCGAGTCTGCACATGGATTAAACATAACTCCAAAATCTGAGGTTCCTCTTAAATACCTGAGCACTCTTCTTGTAGCACCCATATGAACATCACTTGGTTCAGTCATGAACCTTGAAAGCAAACTTGTTGCAAACACCAAATATGGTTTGGTTGTTGTGAGGTAAAGTAGACTTCCAACTAAACTTATGTATTCCTTAGCGTCAACTTTCCTCTGAACGTCAAACTTGAACAACTTCTCATTCACTACAAGAGGTGTACTAACCGGCTTGCAGTTTTGCATCTTGAACTTCTTAAGAACGTCATTGGCATACTTCCTTTGAGAGATAAAAATTCCATCTTCTCCTTGATGAACTTCTATCCCCAAAAAATAATTCATTAAGCCTAAGTTTGTCATTTCTAACCTTTTCTTCATCTCCTCCTTGAACGAAAGGATCATTTTTGAACTGTTTCCTATGATAAGAAGATCGTCAACATAAAGTGAAACGATGAGCAAATCATTCTTGCCTTGACTTTTCACATAAAGAGTGTGCTCATTTTTGCTTATCTCAAATCCCTTTTCAATGAGATAAGAGTCAATTTTTTTATACCACGCTCGTGGTGCTTGCTTTAGGTTGTAAAGAGCATTTTTCAGCTTGCACATTTTTTCTTCTTTTCCTTCGACAAATCTGGGAGGTTGCTCAATGAAAATTTTCTCCTCGAGTTCACCATTGAGGAAGGCATACTTAACATCAAGTTGATAAATCTTCCATTGCACTTTTGCTGCTAAAGCAATCAAAGTTTTCACTGTGTCAAGTCTTGCAACAGGAGAAAATGTATCTCCATAATCAATTCTTGTCTGCTAGGAGTATCATTTGACGACTAGTCTAGCCTTGTACTTGCTTATATAGCCACCAGAATTCAATTTGATCTTGTAGACCCATTTCACGCCTATCACTTTGCGATCGTTTGGTCTATCAACCAACTCCCAAGTTTGATTTTTTTGATCATGCTCATTTCATTTTCCATCGCTTGCTGCCACCTTTTATCTTCATAAGCCTGCTCATATGTTTGGGGCTCTTCAACTCCAAGGTAGCATTTTTCACATTCCTCCGGATCTAAGTGAAAGGCAGGGCATTATTTATACAAGTCCGAGAGTGATTTTTTACCTTGAGGACATTGCATAGAAGAGGAATGTGGCGTGTGATTGTCATTGTTAGCTTCTTCATCATTCTCATTGCTAGGTTCACCACTCACTACATCGTTGGGATTAAAAACTAGCACATAGTGCACATAGTTCCTTTTTTTCAACCTTCTCTTCATCCTAATTCCAGCTTGCATCTTCTTTAAACTCCACATCTCTACTGATCATGATCTTCTCAGTGTCAAGATTGAAAATTTAGTAGCCTTTGGCTTGAGAATCATAGCCACTGAAGATTCTTATTTCAACCTTTGCATTTAGTTTGCTTCTCTTTTGAGTTGAAATATGAGCACAACAAATTGAGCCAAATATTCTCAAGTGTTTTGCGATGGCTTTCTTCCAAAGCATGCTTCATTCAGAGTTTTATCTTGAACCGCCTTTGTGAGCAATCTATTCAGCAGATATAATGTTGTTCTCACAACTTCCGCGCAAAATTTCTTTGGTAAATTCTTCTCCATTAGCATGCATCGAACCATCTCTATAACGGTTCTGTTTTTATGTTCAGAAACTCCATTTTGCTGACGTATATAACCCACTGTAAGCTGATGCTCAATTCCTTCATCTTCACAGAAAACATCAATTTCTGTAGAAGTATACTCTTTGCCTCGATCTAATCTGAGTTTCTACAGTTTACACCCACTTTGAGTTTATGGGAGTGCTTTGAATTTTTTGAAGACATTAAAAACTTCTAACTTTTCTTTCATGAAATACACCCATGTCATACGAGTGAAATCATTGATGAAGAGGAAGAAATACTTGTTTCCACCAAGAGACAAAGTTCTGTGAGGTCCACAAACATCTGTATGAACTAGTTGCAATTTTTCTGACGCTCTCTAAACTTTCTCCTTCGGGAAAGGTAACCTATGTTGCTTGCCAAGTTTACAAGGCTCACATATATCATTGCTCAAGGAAATTGAAGGAAAGTCTCTCACCATATTTTTCTTGTGAAGTTCACAAAGAGCACGTATATTGAAATGTCCATACCTCCTGTGCCATAACCATGTATCATTTGAGTGAGTTGCATGTGCTCATTCTGCTGCAGAATCCCATTTCAAAGCAAAGCTTTTGTTTTCCATAGGGACATTTGCAATCTCCTTTTTCTTCGGGTCCATGATAGTACAATGGTTATTTTCAAAGACAAATGAACAACCAATTCTTACCATTTGAGCAACACTAAGTAAACTCTCATTCAAATCTGGAACAAGGAGAACATCGTTAATGTATTTTGTACCTTTGTTTGTTTGTATAGTAATCGTGCCTTTTCCAGTGGACTTTACCACAACTCCATTCCCCATGCGAACTGGAACTTTGATTGAAGAGTCAAATTTGCTGAATATGCTTGAATCATTGGTCATGTGAGAAGTGCACCCACTGTCAATCAACCACTTATCTTTGCTTCCACTAGAGGTGAAAGCTTGTCGTGCATAAAACAAGGAGTCTTATGCTTCATTGGAAATACGAGCCTGTGATTGTTGTGCCTTTTGTTTGTGCCAACAATCTTTCTACAAAATGGCCAAATTTCTTGCAGTAATTGCATTTTGACTCCCTTTGTGATAGCAAATTTTTTTCAAGGTGATTCGTTTTATTACATATACCATAAGCAGGATACTTTGATTGTGGCTGCTCCTTCCCATTCCTTGAACCACCTTGATTCTTTCGATTGTTCCCCTTATTTTTTAGAGGATTTTTGTCGTTGCTTTTATGGAAAAATAGTTTCAGAGGATGTGTTTTCTTCATCCTAGGATCTTTTGCACTATTTTTGCATATGAGATATCCTCCCAATATATCTTCATTTGGTTTACAACTTCCATGAATCTAGAAGTGTAACCTTTGATATCCTCATTTTCTTTTATCTTCATGTTATCACATTGACTCCTCAAAGTGTTCAGTCGAATATTTTTGATTTTTTTCATCACCATAGAACTCCTCCTGGAGAAGTCTCCACGCTTCTTTTATAGAAAAGGCTCTCATGATTTTGGGAAAAATTGTATCTGAGACACAATTGATGATATGAGATAAGACTCTTGCATCCTTCATCTCATCATCACTGAACATTTTTAATTCTGCATCAGTGTGCTGCACATCTTTCTTTTTCTCTTCGTAACCAGTCTCCATGATCTCCCATAATGCACTTGCTTTAAGAAAAAACTTCATTTTAATGCACCAATAGTCATAGTTATCCCCTGTGAAGATAAGAGGTGATGGCATAGAAGCTAATATGGAAGAGGTTGACGTTGAAGCCATGCTTCAACTGTTCAAATTCTACTTCTTCCTTAATTCTATTCCTTTTGAGTTTATTTGTGATTTCTAGGCCCTTAAGACCATATGGCTTTTGATATCAATTGTTGGAGCAACATAGGGAAAATATGGTGAAAAGTAGAGGAAAAGAAGTAGAAGTAGAGAGAATTCTGACTTTGATTGATGTGTTTGTATATCTATTTGATAAGTACAAGAGTTCTTTATATAGGAGTGAGGGATGCCTTATAATAATTGTGATACAATGAATAGTCAAAATCTTTTGGCATTTCAACTACTCCTACCAACTCTAGACACTTCATCTTCTCTTAATTAAACTTAACATATTCATGAACATAATTTATTGAGTAAGCTAACAAGGTCTTATTTACTAACAGATGTATTGGACTAGATTATTTGATGGTTTTGACGACAGGCATAATCATGTAAGTGATACATTATGTAGAAGCAGCAACTAATGTAATTTCATAAAAAAAAAGTACTGAATCCACTAGATGTACATAAAATCTGTATACATATGCAAACAGATGTGAATGCAGGTGACTTGGCATGCTTGCAGCTGAAATGGACTAAATTGAAATTCCTTGGTTGGGATGGTTTTATGAACAGATGCAATTAAGGCACGTGTATAGAGTCAGGAGACATGGATATCATCTGAAGCAGGCTTGAATTCGAAAATGTTTCTTCCCATACAGGTCCCTTTTTGCTTCCTCAGATGTTTTCTTTTGCAAGGTGAAACAGCTCCCTTGTGACATCGATCATTCCAATTTTGCCATCTCCACCAAACAATAAGCATCTGGTTGCTATGTCTGCTACTATTTCTATTTGCTCTCTGCGAGCTATCGGCTGCTCGTGGTAGTAAAGAGATGGATCCACTATTTCTTCTAGCTTCCCGCTTTTGATTTTTTCCATGGCTACCCTTGGCATGTCTGAATAGCTGGTGCCTGAAATTATCTCTAACAATAAAAGACCAAAGTCGTAGACATCATTTTTGTAGGGAGTCTCGTAGTTGCTGCGTAGGTTCGAATAGTTTCCGGACCCAGGGCTAAGCAGTGCAAAGCCAGCAACCTTAACTGAGAAATCCACATCAAGAAAGATGTAGCCGGATGATTTGAGGCCACGGTGAAAGATAGGTGAAGAAATCTCGTAGTGCAAGTATGCTAGGACACTTGCGGTTTCAGCAGCTATGCTCAGCCTTTTGTACCAATCCAGGCCGAATTTTTGTCCTCTGCTATTTTGCAGATGTTCCTCCAAGGTGCCATTTGCAGGATATCCATACACCACCATTATGGTGTAACTGGACTCGATACAACATCCGAGTACTCGAGCTAAATTCCTATGTAAAACAGATGATAGAAGCTCGATTCTCGATAGGACATCAATTAGGTCTCTTTCGGTCTCTTTCGGTCTCACATCGCACCTTCTGCACGGCTATATGCGAACCATCCCCAAGGACCCCAGCATGAATTGTACCGTTTGTGCCGTTTACGAGCTTCTGACTGTCTTCGAATGTTCTGGTTGCTTCGCCTAGCTCTCTGTAAGTAAACAATCTAGTCCTACAGGCTCTCCTAAATGACGTGGTATTGTGATAATGATTTTGTTCTAGGTGAAAAGGGCCTAGTTTAACCGGTCGTCTCAGTATGCAGAGGAATAAGAATAAGGAGGCAAAGATGAAAAGCAGAGTAAGAACAACTACATGGCAAATAAAGTAAGATATATCAGTTCTCACAGCAAGCTGGATTAGGATAATGTTTAACAAAATAATCAAATCTCATAATAACATACCAGCCAAAATTACAAGTTTTCTTTGACTATGTTTTGGGCTGTCACACTCCTCCCCATATGCTCCTTGCCCCTCCTTGATGCAGGCTGTCAATGACAGATTCATTCAAAACATGGAAGATAACACTCATTTAACTACAAATCAACCTGATTTGATTCCTCACAAATAAATATTCAACTACTCACATTTGAAGCATCCGGCTCCATTGGCAAATCCATCACTGACGAACCCATCCTTGCACAAGCACCTGACCCCTGCTTCAACTGCAGTGGCATTCACCATATCTGCATCAGTGGCACAAATTATATCGGATGAATTTCTAGGAACTGCCCACTCCAACTTTACCCCACGTTTTCCGGTGTTGGTTCCCCGGGAAACTACCCATGACGAAAATCCTCTGCACCCAAACTTGGAAAAACTCGAAAACCCATCACCGGAATGCCAAATGCTATGATCGGAAAATGGATAACAGCAACCAAGGGAGCCGCCAATGTTGCCATCACAACCTGGTAAGTCGTTTGTTTCACAACCCACTTTACACAAAGAAGAGTCTTCACAATCGTATAGACCTATAACGTTGTCACTCGAGATACCAAAGTAGTCGTTTTTCGTGAAACCGAAGGCGTTCAAGTCGTTGTATTGACGGCAACTGGAGGCTCCAGGGAAGTCAACTAGTACACCGTCGGAGAAGAAATCGAGAACACGATAGGTTTCAGCGCCGATGTGAAGGTAAAGGGTAGGGGAATTCAAGCAAGATAGATGGAAAGCGGTGGAAACTGAAGAACAAGAAGCGTTTAAATGAAATGGAAGCCGCATTTGTCATTGCACTGGTTTGGGATCAAAAGGGATTGCGTTTTCTGTTCCAAAGACATGGCTGGTTGATTAAGAGATGAAATAAGAGTAAACGAAACTAAAACTAAAGCCAACATTGCCTTGTAAACCTCGAGGCCCACTCGTAAACTAAGAATCATATTCATGGCTTTCTCTGAAATACTGCAACACTTAAAACGACAAAACCAGCTCCATCTTTCCCCAAAGATTGGCGAATCATACTAAGATTTCGGCCATGTTCAAACAAGACCCACAAAAGAGAAGGGACGGAATAGCCACGTGGCAGGATCAAGTGGGTTGAAACGAGTGAAAAAAAGGGTGATGCGTAGCGTAGGAGTGCGGCCATGGAAGTTGGAGAAGTGAAGAAGATTGGTCTGTGGAATGGGCTACAATTGGCACCCCATAGTCATCGGACACTGTGCAATTTACGTGAGGCAAGGCTAGGGGGGAGGTTTACGATTGAAACAGCTTAAATAATGGATAAAAAATTCCACTTTGTTTTTGCTTTTAATTATTAATTTATTTTTATAGTTCGTATGGTAAGTGGTTACAAGAGTTTGCATGACTTTTAATGCTTAGGTAACTGGGAATTTATCAAGACTTACATTATCTAATTGCAATAGATTTTCAAACCCCAAAGTCGAGTTGACGGCTTGACGCGCCTTTCCGGTACGCGACCTTGTCCTTTTACACCTACTGTTGTCAAATTCATAGTATCTTATATTTTTATTTATTTCATTTTAAAAATAAAATTTATATAATTTTAAGGATTCATTTAGAAAAATGTTCTAAAAGAATTAGGAAAATAGAAATACCTCAAAATTATTAACATATTCAGAATGGTATTTTGTAGTGATTGTTAAAACTATTATGATGATTTTAATAAAACTATTTTTATGTGTTTAAAAGAATTTGAAAGTTAAGGTTATAGATAACTATAAGTAATTTTATCATAATCATATGTAGATGTCAATAAATTTAAAATAAAATTATTAAAATGAATGAAAAATGATTTTAACTCTAATCATTTAATGGAAATAAATTATATTTTGTATATTTTAAATTTTAAATATTAATATCTTTTTTTAAGTTTTTAATGACAAAATTATTATGATTTTCTTCTGAATATAATCTAAGATGAATATAAGATAACATTTGTTCAAAGACTCTTAATCATTTGATAATGAACGATCATACCTTCTACATACGTGGTGTTCAAACTCGAGACCTCAAGAATTAATATCAATCCATTGACTACCAAAATAATTTGATTTGTGGGATAAGATTTTTAGGTTTTAATAGCCACTTGTTATACCAAATAATTTGACTCCTAAATGATAGCTAGAAGTTAAAGGCTTGATGGGTTTAGACTTTCCTTGAGCCTTAACCAGTTAGTATTAGCCAATGACTTAGTTAATGAGTATTCAAATTTATTTTTCATCAAACGAATTATACTATGATTTTTTTAAATTAGATTAAAATAAAATTTGAATCATTGTCTCTAATAAAATTTAAATCTAATCACATTATTTCTCAAACAAGGTTGCATTATTAACATTTTGGAAATAAAAAACACAGGAAACAATAAATCAACTGATATATGAATACCATGCAAAATGGCTGAGAAAATATTGTGGGAGAAAAATTCTCCAAATAATCCAACTCGGTGATTATTTCCTCATATAGGATGATTTGCACAGTAACCGGTCGAAGACGCCACGTGTTCCACATGTCTTCAAAATCCTCAGGGAGTACACGACGTCTTTAAGCCTAATCTGAAGACTTCAGGACTGCATGTCGTCTTCAAGCTTGGGAAGTCTCTAGAATTGCTAGGCGTCTTCAGGCAAGAGGGGGAAAGCTCTGGAACTGCATGGCGTCTTCCCAATGCCCTCTGCATGTCCTTGCATGACATTGATTCTGAAGCCAACATCCGATCAAAATATTTCCTTCCCCATGCTACGTAGATTCTTCTCATTCCCCATTCATATCCGTTTAGTTTAATAAAAAAATTAATATTTTCACATGTTTATGAGTTGGGGTAGAAGTCTCTTATGATGGAAATACAAAAAAACATATTAAGAGGAGAGAACGATTGGAAGAAGGAGCATCCGGGAATA